ACATCTCCATTTTCATCCCATTTCAGTCATTTACACTTGAGTCTGTACCTACCCAAAAGCAACACACTAAGAGAGGTTACATCAGGGGTCTGTTGATCAGTAGACTGCATTCCCAAGGAAAAATTAAAAGCTCAAACAGTGACCTGATCACTGACTTTGATGTAGTTGGTAGTGACTTAAACAAGATAGCAAAATAGAAAGAAACCAGCATCACCAGTTGGGAAATAAAATTCACCAAATGGTGTAGAACCAACTGTGTATGCTGAAGTGCATATTCAGACGTTTGTACCCAAATCAAATCCTGCAAAGGCTGAACACCCACAAACACGATATGAAAGAAAAACCATGTTATATATGTCGGCTCCTTTTTACACTATTAGAACAAGTATGGAAAATCCATTTAAATAGGATCCTCTGGTTTCTCTGAGACTCTGTCTAGCAAAGTGGTTTCGAGTTTAGTAAGACATGTCTCGGGGGATTGTGGCTCTGAGGACTTGGGCAAGGGCTGTACCTCTTTGTGCCTCGTCTCTTCACCTGTAGGTCAGAGATCATTGCCTGTCCTGTAAGTGGAAGTGAGAAGCACACGGGTGACCTTGTAACATACTCAGCTTAGAGGCAGGTGCATCTGGATGGGTCAGTGTCTGTTAGTGGTGGTCAATGACTGCTGGTCTTGCTGGTCAGAAATGTTGGGGGGTCAGCTGGTCTGGGGAACATTTAGTGGCCCGTATCTGAGTCCAGTGTGAAAAAGGCACCCCCCACATGCTGGGCACACAGGCTGATACCCCACACTGTCCGTGAAAGCCCTGGAGCTGCCCTGTCCAGTATAGTGGCCACCAGCCACGTGGTTATTGAAATTCAGACTCCAATTAAACTATGGCAATTGAAAACTCAGCTCCTTTGTTACACTGCCCACATATCAAGTGTTCAGTAGCCACATATATAGGATAGCACAGATACAGAACATTTCCATCACCAAGAAAAATCCTTCGCTCCTGTATCCCTAAAACATGGCACAGTACATGGCTCCTATCCATTTCAGGACTTGGGCAAAGCATAGTTTTACTTTAAAATCAATCCCTAGCTCAGTTGGTGCTGCGCAGAACAAGCATATATGGTAGAAGGGCAGGTCCGCATCATGTTCCTGAAAACCTTCACTTCCACATCCCTCTCCGAACCCTGTGGCCTCAGACAACACTGAATCAAGTGATCTCAAACCCCAGAGCCACCTTGAAGGTGTTCCCTCTTCCTCAATGTCCAGGGTCATTCATTTGGCTGCAATTCAAATTTGCTACCATTCTTCCCTGACAGAGCATATGAGAAGAGAGCAGCCTCAGAGGCGGGCAGGTGAGAAGCCAGCTCAGCCTTTATCCCTGGTTCAGGCCTCTGGGTCCGGCACGGGGTCCCGAAGAGTGGGAGCAGTCAAGGTGCTATGGTGGGACGTCTGCAACAACCGGCCCTGGCAGAAGGGTGTGCAGCATCTGCTGATTTCCGTGGAACAAATACCACCACTTTGGCCAAGTTCAATCAGCTCCCCAGATCCCGAAAATGTAACACTCTGTTCCTCTGCATGCCCAAATGATTCCCTGAAGGGCAGGTGCCAGGACGGTCATGTTAGAATGAGGAATTCATAGGGCTTTCTTTCTGTATTTGGTCTGGGCTGGGAAATAGGTATTTTAGTTGTGTCTCATGTTAAAAAAACAAGAAAAGCCATTCTGCATAGGTGATTATATAGGCATTATGTGACATGACAGAGAACTGAATGAATAAGTTAAAATATCAATGGAAAATATTCTAAAGGCTATCAGTAAATTAACTGTGGAGAATGTTCAGATGCTGCAGTCAGTTTCTCTCCCCATCTGCCACCCCCAAAAAAGCATAGAGGGGCTTTGTATAGGATTTAACCTGCACTAAGAAGAGTCCTGGTGAAAGTAGGCAGTCGGAGCCCATGACTTTGAAAGCAGGTGACAATCTTGCCCCCAGATCTCCACATTATACTGCAGGCTTGATCCGAGGAGGCCGTGGGGCTGCTCTTGGGTGTGATGTTATGACAGAACTAGGGAAAAGCTAATACTCTGGCAAGCGGCCCTAGGCAATGTATGTTTCTTGGAACATATGTAATGCATTTAATGTATAATCTCTTTAATAGGACTTCTTTTCACTACTGACTTTGTCAGACAAGCTCTTCTCAGCAGTTCTTACTCTGTAGGAATTTCTGTGCCACCAGCAACAACCACTTTCAGTAGCTTCCAAAATATTTTTTGTAAGAGACTCTTTCATTAATCTCATTTGCTTATGTAGATTTCCAAAAGGCCTCAGCAGAGAAAGTTATCAGATTAGAGAAGTTACTTAACCTCAGTGAGCTTCAATTTTGTCTTCTGGCAAATAGGAGTGGTAAAAGGTTCAATATGATACTATGAAGCTCCTCCCTACAACCCATATACCATAGGTACTGAATAAAGGACACATGCTATATTATGAGCATTCTGCAGGATGCATTTTGTAAGTAGGTAGATGTGCAAAAAGTATTCAAAATCATGCCTTTTAGTCCCTTGTAAAACATTTGGGCAAGTCACTAAAATCATTCTCCTTTACGCAGTCGGGCGGCATCTGATCACTTGGCTTGCATGAATGCCAGGAATTATCCTGCTTATTTCAGAGCTCTCAGTATTATTCTTGTCTCTTCCCAGGAAGTTCAGGGTCATGAGACTATCTAAATAAGCCACTAATAAAATTGTTGAAGACTAAGAACCAGGCAAATGGGGCATTGAATTAAAAAATGCAACAAGTTCTTGGAATGGTGGTGATTCCCCATAGTGGCTATGAGATTCCTGGGCATGACATCCTCAGACCAATGGGCTGCAGGTCTTGACGGCTCCATGTGCAAACTCACCAGCACCTGCAGTGTGGCATACCTTGGGTGGAGATGGCTCTGCCTGCTTCTAAGATTACCCCAAACATTCAGTGTCTTGATGTGTTCACTGGGTGCTGACAACCTAATGATGCTCTGCTATTGAGAGAAGACCTGAAACCAATGTGAAAAGCTCTATTCAGGGATATCAAGCACAAGGTCAGAATCTGTCACTGCCCAAAGTGAAGCGGGTTCTTCTACA